AAAAAAAAATCACACTTACGGCCATGTACCCGAACGCCGACGTCGTGTCGTTGCCGTGAAGTAATTACAGTTGGCCTCGTCGTCCAGCAAGCGCGAAGACGAGCGCCCACCCCCCGCGCACCACTTGCGACTCYTATGTTGCACYTTARGGTGGCCATTGTCCAGCAGATCATCATCGTCGAAATGCAAATTCAAATGCTGCAATTTGTCGGTGAGTTCAACACAATTGCCATTCAACACATCTGTGACACGTTTACTACTGCTTTGAGCATTACGCTTTGGGCTAGAGCRTGCCATCGCGCTTAAACCACCGTCAAGCGTTTGTTGTGTTTGCTGTTGTTGTCGTTYACCACTTTGATGCTGTGTTTTTGTTGACTTTTGCTGCTGTTTCGGCTTCAGCGCAGCATTTCGTGAACGCGCCGTGGCTTTCGGCGCTGCTTGAAAACTATCCAGGCGCGCATTGTGTTGTTGTATGGTGTGATGATGGTGATGATGCTGTTGATAGGCCGATAAGCAATTCGTGGTAGCGCCACCCCAGGCCAACTTGTAATTGAGCCGTTCCTCGAGGCGACTTTTGTGCAAAGTGGCCAGATCAATGTCCGACAGGCAGGTCATTGTGATTTGATAACGAATCGGCGCCTATTGTTGTTGATTTATTTCTATATATTTTGTAATTGTATTTCTTGTTGTTTTGTAACTTCTGTTACTGCTTGCTCTTTGATTTTTTTTTTTGAACTTAAGCGCGCATATGCTTTTGTTTTTGTATTTTTAAAATTGTTTACTTATATTTTATATTTATTGTATATTTATATATGTATTTTACACTGATATGCAATATTGGTTGTGTTGGCACTTTAATGTCCCAATTAAATGCAATTTTATTAAATAGCAGTTATTATACAATGTATTTGTTGTTCGTTCAATTTGCACATAGAAAACAAGCTAAAATAGGATTTTTTTTTATATTCATATATGTACAGATTTGTAGTGATACATACATATGTATATACATGCATATATACATACATATGGACATATATACATATATATGTGTATCGCCTCTAAAAGTGCTCGTCCAGCGGCGTTTATTTATCATTTGAAGTGCATGTGAATATTGTCAGGTGGTTCTTATTTAGTAGTTGACGACATAGAATGATTTATGAGTGCAAAAGTCGATTACTCGATATATAGTATAGTGCAAGTCATTTAATATTTAATTATTTCATAGACGGAAATTATTTTAACATATTTTTTTATAGTAAATTGGAAGTGTACTTGTAAAAAAGAAAAAATGAGAGCCCTTCACGTTGCTGACCTTTTGATTTTGATCGGTCAGTTGCTGCCATATATGCTATAATTGTACGATCTGAACCATTTGTTAGGAGATTGTAGCATTGCCTTAG